TGAATGCAGGGTGTGCCTTCAAGGGACAGCTTACTTGTAAATGACGTCACCTAACATGTTAGTGACCATCGTCCTGTTAGATTAGGACACCTCTCACTCTGAACAGGTAGCCCATCTGTGCAACATCTGTGTCGCTGTTTTAAATGCCTCCTTTTTAAAGGCGGATTTGTTCGAAAATTTCGTTTTTTTTATTTGCTGTTCTATTTCAGTAGAGGCTGATATGGATCCCGACTTAATCCAGCCAAGAGGATCGTCCGGTTTCTTTTTCTCGAACGTGTGGCATCCATATGTTGAGCATTTATCGGCCAAGAAATCCATTTTGTATGTCCATGCTTTTATTGTCAATTCTTAATGGTTCCTCTATATTCGACTTCAGATTGGATAGCCTTGAAAGGCACGAGGCTGGAACATTGCCAGAAGGCTATGTAGTGTCACGAGCAAACTGCGCGTTGGTTGATTTTGTTCAAGCTGTCTACGCAGCCGTGGATGCGCTTAGTTTGCAAGGTACTCCTTGATTGAAGATTTTACTTCCTATAGTTTCCGTCGAAATTATATTTTCAGAAAATGGAGATAAAAATAACAATGAACATGTTGCCGAATCAATTTTCACCAGTTGTCAACCCAATCTGCTGGCCGCGTTGAGCCTTTTGTTATCAGCGAGGTATGTCAGAGTTCCACTTTTTTAATGTTGTGGTCAGTGCTGAAGTTTACGGCAGCGCTCAAAGTTGGCGATGACGCACGTCGACGCGCTGTAGCGCGTGCCGACGCGCGATGAATGCAAGGGCGCCCCATTGCTAGAGACACGAACGCAGCCGTGGACGGAAATCGATCGGCCCTGGCTGCTTGCGTTCTGGGAAAGAGAGTATAGATAACACTAGAGGGGAGGCGCTGTCTTTTCACATTCTGATGCACTCCTACTCCCCATACTCTCGAAAAACACAAGCGGAGGCGCCGATCTATTACCGTCTCCGTTTGTGGGATGGAGCGCTGTTACAGATGTAGTGCGTTGACGCGCGTTACAACGCGTCACAGCGCGTCGGCGTAAATGACAAGCGTCACCGCGAATTCTGAACGCTGTCTTCGGTGTAAAAGTAGAAGATTCCACGTGAGAGTGTTGTTCGACGGAGCTATGTGATGAGTTTGTAGCACTGACGAAACGGTGACGGATCAGCTTTTGTGTGCACTTTCGACGCTAATGTCAGTTGGATGCAAATTGAAAGCAATTCCTGCCAGTTTGAATTGTTTATACGTTCTATGCTGTACTTGCTTACCAACAGTGACGTATTTGCGTTCGTATGCAGGAGCAGAGACGCCCATGAACGAGCGTGAGTTCTGAATATTGTTTTTGGGCAGGCAACTAAAAAGTAGTTAAGCTCTATTTTTTAATACGTGAGTGTGCGAGAAAGATGAACGCGAGCGATTGTCCCTTTTCTTCTGGCCTTTTTCTGATTCCGCTCGCGCCGCCTAGTTCTTATCAAGTCGCCTTGAGGACGACAGGTTACTTATCGGCAAATTTAGTCAGAAGCGTTTCGGAGCGGTTCGAACTGATGAAAAAAGATCTCTAACAGGAAACCAAAGCTCTGACTAGCTTTGTTTTGACTGCTGACTTTACTCTGTGCGCGATGCAGAAGTTATTGCAAGTTTGTTAATTTGCAAATTTGCTGATCATTGGTGACACGTTTCCCTCGCAGGGCACAGCATCTCGGACTGGGAGAGTCCCATCAGGGGCTGTATTCGATCGATACCCCCTTCCTCCCGCTTTACGGCAGGAAAACAAGAAAATACTTTAGAAGCCTGAAAAGTAGTAAAAAATTGAGAAATTTCGGAAGATGGTAGGGAGGATGAGGAAGGGGTTCTACCAAAGGAGGAAATTGGGGGAGTCGTCTGACACCACCATATGTTTCGTCCTGACGCTGTAGTTTGTTGCCTCGACTGTGAGTTAAACTGGGATCTCACGCTTTTCAGCGACTGTGTTTTCAGTATACCACCAAGGCCACGAAATACTCTATAAAAGAGTAGAGGATAAATTCTTCGCCGTTGATCAATTCCATTTTGGGATGCGGCACGCATCTTACTTCATATCGGAATCGTAGTGGCTGCTCTTGCCTTCCCAGACGACTATCTTTCCACTTCACTGTCCCCAGTTGATGCTTGGCTGGCCTGAGCGGGAGCCGTTTGACCCTCGGACCGTCCGCGTGGCAAGCTTGTCTTTTGCCATGACATCACCCGTCTCTATGTAGTTGTATAAAAGTGTTGGTGAATGCAATTCAGTTTCATTTCACTTTTGGCTTTTGATTCAAATTTTTTTTCAGACGAAAATGGGGACCATTTCACATTTTCCCCTGTTCTGTTCCCATTATTTTATTTTTCCTCAAAGTGCTCACTATCGTATTATTTCCAATAGGTTTTTACCGAACGTTTAATTCAGAGCAACTGGAAAACTTGGTGTTCGATTCGTCGTCAGCTTTACACGAAGTGGTTGTTTCTGGCACACCTTGCCCGTCTTCCGTCGTAGTGCCAGACAAATGGAATGATCAAGTTATGGTGAGCGAGCGTAGATTCCTATGTCAGCTCCTCCTTATTTGACTTAAATGAGCCATGAGGAGTTTGCTTTTCAGTTGACATCGCGTAATTTGCAAGCGTGTTCCATTCTCCTCAGCTCTATGTGTGCACACGCAGTGTATTTGGATGAACTCTGGTAATCTAATAGCTATCTGTTGGTCGCTTGCAGTGATTCATGTCTTGCTCTTCCAGGCATTTGAGCCTTTTGACGTGTCAACATATTGCGTGGCTCCTGGGAATCCGGCCGTCTTCTACGGGTATTTTCGCTCGGGAGAAAGCGGAAGTCGAACAGCAAAGTATGATCTCTTATTATGAAGGGTTTTATAGTGGGCCTTTGCTGGCAGTATACATGGGGGGGGGTGGCAAAAAAGACACTTTGGCCGAGTCACATATCAGCAAAGTTTTCGCAGCCCAGACAGAAGACGTGGATACGAGTACCAGGGCGGAAGATACCCAAGATGTTCCTCGATAAGCAGGAGCAGGCTCTCGCCCATCACCTTCATGTACACCAAAATATGAAGCCATCTCCAGTCGCAGCCGGACTGGAGAAGGCCTATGGAATTCACGTCACCTCCAAACAGCTGCGAAACTTCTTGTATGGAGTCACCCATGGACAGCTACCTGGGGACCGGCACTCTTGATCTGGAAGACCTCCAACATCGAGCAGCTCCGACAACGTCGCTACGGTCCAGGATATCATCTTCACCGCAGTCGCCAAGGCGCGGGTTGATGGTATGGACCGGAAGTTCCTGGAATGGGAAGACCGATATTTTCTTCGTGGACCCCGGACTGAAAGTGAACGGCTCACTTTTACGAATCCGGAAGCAGCCGCTTTTTTTTGAGGATCGCCTTCATGTCGTCCACGTGTACCAGCTCGAAACTTCGTACATCTACAGGCTATGGGTGTCATAACACATGAATTGGATGGGCGTTGGAAACTTCGCTCCGCCTGGAATGGAAGGGCATTGAGTAGAGGAGTATCCAAGTGTCCACCTGCCTTAATCCCACACTCAGATTTAACCGGGTTGGAGAGCTCAATAGGTGTCTAAGGGAGAGAAATCAAACGACCTCCTCGCTGAAACTTAGGCATTCGAATCAATGATCGATGTGACAGAATGTCTTGTTGCGCTCATCTCCGAAGGCTCGTGGGATTTCCGCTTATAGACGGAGGGCAGTGTGTTGTTGAAGCGTCTGCGATGAAAAGAAAGTTCCACTCAGTAATTCCATCAAGTGTGAGTTATAGTTCGCGACTTGACTAGTTAAGGAAGAAAGATTTCTTTTTTGCCGACGCGCCGCTCCCTGTACGCTCTAATCGCGGCGGAGAAGGGGCGTGTCCAGCGGTGAGTGTGCCAGGTCGGGGAACGTTAGTTCTGTGCCGGTTGTTGAAGCAACAGTTGGTAGAAAAACAGTGATGCGGACTGGTGTTGGTACCGTTTTGTTACTTGCTTTCGCTGCAACATTGTTCGGATAACATCCGATTTGGCGCAAGCGTCCAAATGCATACCGCGATGAATTTTGCGCTGTGGCCAAATCTCCCTGCCTTCGTCCGCAGGTGAACGCGACAGTAGATTTTGTAAAGCAGCCCACTGCCTGTTTGCAGGAACTCCGGTCAAAATATTGTAAAACTCTCGTACTGAAATTGTGTTCCTATGCATCTGGACATGTAAAGCAAGAGATGAGAAACAGCTAAAATCACTCCATATCCTCGGACGTGGCTGCCTTACTTGCATTGAATGCGAGAGCTGCGCTTGTGCTTAAATGTATCCGCTTTTGATATACGATCGCGTATCTTTTCTACCTAATGCATCAATGGAACGGCATTGTGAGTCTCAAACAGAAATGTCGAAGATCATGCCTGCCCATGTTAGAACCGAAGTACTTAGGCTACGCATGCTAAATACTGCGATATTGGATGTGTGTGTCATGGTCCGTGACAAATAGACTAATATTGAGGCTTCTATTAGTCACCAGGAAGTTCTCAGCGTTTGTGTTATTCTATTTTTTGTACATTCACTGCTAGATTGCAAAACTCATTACTCGACTTGCCCGCATTAGTACATCGCGAAAGAGAATTCTTTGCGCTATCTGATGGTATGAATAACTGTTTCACCATTGCTTGATACCCCCTTTTCCCAAGACTTTTTGAAGCTTGTCAAAAGAGCATTTTTCGGCACAGGTATTTTTCTTCAAACTAAAATATTGGGTCAATCCGCACGAGATCAGCTCGACAAATTTAACCAGGTGTGCAGGCCAATAGGTTGGAAAAGCACGTGTGCGATCAATGGGGGTGTTTTTTTCCCCCCCCCGACACAATTTTCGTTCTGGAGATTTCAGCCTTGAAGATGAACCTCGTAGCGGTCGACCTAAAGCAATACCTGACGAGGATTTGAAGGCGTTTGTGGAGGCTGACCCATCCCAAACAGTTCGAGAGATTGCAGAAAAGCTAGGCGTTGGCAAATCCACGTGGTTGCGGATGTCTAGAACACTTTGGAAGGTGAAAAAACTACGACAGTGGTGGCCCCACAATCTTGAGTGACCCGGCCAAAATGTCGCGTCTCCGATGTTCCTTCTTCCCACTATTTTTGGTCACAGAAACGACCCCGTTTTTACGTAGCAATTGTAACCGCGGTGATTAAACAGTGGCATCATTTGATGTCGAAGAAGCCACCGAGGCCAATTTCCCCAAGCCGAATCCTCGACGAACAAAAAGGTTATGGTCAGAGTGTGTAAGTCATCGGCTGGTGTGGATATACTATCCTTTTTGTCAAGCTGGCCAACCAAACACCCTCGAAGAGAATCGACGCAATGTACTGAAAATTGGCTAGAAGCTGCAGCCAGCCTTGCAACAGAAGGGCCCGATTCTTTTGGGCTGTACAAACCGCCCGCCCAGCCGTTCCACCAATCACTCTTATAATTGAACGAATTGCGGGATTGAGTTCTCCTTCACCCGCGCCATATTCTCCCGACATTTTCACAACCGATTTCAACCTTTACAAACATTTCCTGAGAACTGTCGCTTTCATCAGTCAGTACCAGGCAAAAAAGCCTTCGTGGATTTCGTGGATTCTCGACCACCCAGTTTTTTTCTTTGATGGGATTTATCGACTGGTGTCACATTGGCAAAAGTGTGCTGATTCGAACGGTGCTTATTTCGATTAAATCCGATGAGTATTAAGAAAGTTATGATCGTTTAAAGTGAAACACTCAAAACGCTTAGTCTACAGTAGCTATGGAAGCCAGTCGGTGAGACTAGGACACGTAGACTCTGATCACCTGTGCTCTTTTGAGGATAGGACCTGGAAAAGGGCAATAGAATTACCCTAGTGAGAGGAGGCAACGGAGCACACCGAGTCGCGCCGTCCTGTGGCAAAAATAAAAAATACGAATAATATAATACAATGAAAAATATAATAGTACAATAAAATAAAGAGAATTTTCGAAAAAAAAAACCAGAAAAGTGATTGGAAGTTAGGGGAAATTAGAAAGCTGGTAGGTAGGATGGAGCATGGTTAAGGGGGACGTATCAGAGAGGGGAATGTTGAGGGGGGGGGGTCGTATTCTGCAGAAATTTCCCCAACGGCAGGACGTATCCTGCTCCCTAACTACGGTAGCGCCAGTTAAGAGTGTTAGTGCCCGCTTGCATACTTGAAATCCTGCGTAGTAGGACTTTCTACGAAAGTAAATTATCTTTCGTTTCAGACAATGCAAATGTGATTACGACAGCTGCTCTCTCGAAAATTCCAATCCTTGTAAGCTTTTAGCGTTCGTCTCTTCCATTTACATTCCTTCTCGTTGAATATTCGTTCGCAAATGCCTCTGGTGCGTTCCTCAGTAAAAGTTTTCAGGCTGCCCTCCTGGATAAAGTTGCTTGTGCTTCTGTAACGCTTTCGGATGCATCCCTTCTGAAGGCTATTGAAGCAATGATGAGGTGAGTTTACGTTTTTGAACTTAAAGGCAGTTGGCACGATAATTTGGTACTCGGTCTAAAATGGTAGTAGGGGTGCTATATAGTGGGGAAAATGGCGAAAAAGCGAAGTGAAACGGTCAAAACCTGCAAAGAAAAGCCTTCGCTTTTAATGACTTGAGAAACAATTTCGGACGAGTTTCCCGAAGGCATCTTGCCAACCGACGGTAGATATGACTGCATGTGTGCACACATATATCCACGCGGCACCGCAGCCGCTTCATACCAATCCCTTCGCTTCATAATTTGCTTAGCAAATGAAGCAATACGAGCATCAGGAACGGTCGTCCATTTGTGGGCGGGGGCGTGGTGGGCGTTCGGGTCGGTATGTTGTAGCTTGATAGGGCCCTTATAAGGGTACCTCCCTGGAAAAGGCGCTACGCAGCGCCTGCTCAGGGTCGCGGAATTCCGTCCTGCCAGGCGTATTAATCCTACTCGTTTTAGGGATTTATCGTGCCAACTGCCTCTAACTTTGAACTACCTATTTGTATATTTTCATTCGTGAGTGTACACTCGTTCCTAATTAACTGCTGCTTGTGTAGGATATCGGACGAAAATGTCGCTGTGGCGGCGACTGGTAGGGAGTGCTCACTCTTCCCATTGGCAATGCTCCTACGGTTCGCATCTCTGAATCTTCATCGTCAGCAAGTCTTCTGGGACCGCGTCACGGCACACTTCATCAAGGTGGGGCGATTGTGCTTTTGTAGTTTGGCTGCACGCTGTGAGAAAACAAGATTTTAAGGTCTGTGGCCATATAACTCCATCCTTACGCGAATGGGCGGCTGTTGCTTTGTCAAGCATCATCAAACAAGCGTTCAAAGCAAAAACTGGGCTATCAGAAGCGGTTAGTGCGCTATCTTCCACATTGTATAGGTACGAGAGTAACCTACTTATTTTCAGGAACATCAGGCTATCACACTGAAGACACTGCGCTTGATGTGCTCTATTCACCAGGCGGATGTGCAAAGACGTCAGCTTGACTGTTTGATGGCGCTTCTCCAAACGGACGGTGCTCAACTTGTACCCGAGATGTGGCAACATGTAATTTTCATAGTTGCTGCCGTCGTTGATGAAGAGAACTGGTATGTATAAAGATTTCTTGGCTAGTAGTTCAGGCGCAGCGAACAGTGGATTTTTCTGGTTATTTCTGAATTCAACCAACCCAAAATTCAGCTGTGACGAAGCTCTGGTACGGCAGGGATACCTCGGCCTGAGACTTGTGGCTGCGGACTTTCTTCCGTCACTTCCGTTCGAGTGTATCTCCGTGTTGGTGGAAGCAGTCGCGCGATATGGAAGGCAAACGGCTGATCACAACATTTCCTTGTCAGCTCTCACTCAGCTGGTGGGTTGATTTTCGAGGCTCCTTTGAGTTGCTGTCATTTTCTTTGACTGGCTTTTCTTCTTTCAGTGGACAATCTCTGACTTTGTCTTTCGAAAGAGCGAAGTTGTGGGTGCTGATGCATCTGAAAAGGTAATATTTTTGGTTCTTCCCAGGGCTGTTCTTTCCAGTTCCCTGCTTCTTGAGAATACCCATGTTTCCGTACGTGGTTTTGTATTCAACTGTGGTTTCAGGTTTGGCTGGTGCTGTATACGTGCCTATCTGAACTGTGTGTTGATGTTCGGCCGTCTGTCCGCAAAAGTGCCTGCCAAACTCTTCTTCAAACGGTGGCCTCCCACGGCCATGCTTTGCGGATTAGCACATGGAATCATATGATATGGCAGGTAGGATGGAGCTCAAGTGAGAAGCTATTGGGGCTGACAGTGGTCAAGGCGAGGACAGTTATCGCAGAGGCTTTCGCGCTTGTATCTGGCGTCCTTTCTTGATTATTCTGAGATGACAAAGCCTTTTTTCGATCTTAGATCGGATGCAGCGCAAGCGTTCCCTTTCGTATTACCACCTTATTGTAAGGCAGCGTTCAGAATTCGCGACGGCAGCGCTTCGGTCGCGCGTTCGGCGCGATCGATGCGCATTATTTTGACTGCGTCGGTCGTGTCGAACGCGCGACGGAGCGCTGCCGTCGCGACGTCTGAACGCTGCCTAAGAGATTGCGCGTGACATCACCTGTGAGCCTGGTTGTGCAGTGAGTCAAACAAAGCAGATTTAATGAGTTTGAGACACATTGTGCGATTACTTCCATAGCTGATCCTTCCATGTTCAAAGCGGGCAAGTCTACAGCCAGTAGGGTACCGCTATCGCCACTTGAAGGTGCTCTGAAGCTAGATGCTGGCTTGTTCTTTATTTCATAGCCCGCCTTCCGGCATGAAAAACGGCAGCGTATTATTTGCCGCTTGAGTCCTCTCAGCGAGATACAGTCGCGTTCGCTGGGTGATAGAGTGTGTTAGTGAGAGTGAGTTTGGCACACCGCCAGCCTGTTCTCCACCAGTTGTTGAAGTGGATTAGCGATAACGATTGGTGGAAAACGACTGATAGAACGATATGGTACAGTCCTGTCGCTGAGCGTAAGAAAAAAGAAACGCGCTGGCGCCCTGCCCAACTTGTCCCTACTAACACACCCGTCACCCGCAGCGAACGAGATCGTAGTGTTTGGTGAGATTATTCAAGGTCGGCGAAACCTCTGTCAAGCTTACTGAACAGCGCAAGCGCCGTTCATGCGCACTCGCCCGGAAAGCGTGGGGTGCGGGTACGACTCCCGCCTGGGGTACGACTTTTGTCCATAACTCAGCATTCTTGTGCTTACTGAACACTTACTCGGTGGGTATGATGAAGCGGTGCGCACCATGCGGCCGTATCGCGTATGAGATAGTGGGCAGAGACATAAAGGACATCGAACTATCAGATTCCTTCAACTTCCTTGCTATGAGCTTTCGAGTGGCAACAATAGCATAGTTCTACAATTGCAGACTTGTGCGCTTGAACGCAGAAAGGGTCCAGTTTTGTTTGGTGTGGATGACGAGGCGCGTCAGGAAGGATGGGTTTAGCGCGACACAAAACCTGTTTTCCACCAGATGTTGAAGCGAGCAAGCGACAAGAGTGTATCATATCGTTCATACCAGTCATTTTTCTACAACGATTATCGCTCACCCTTTGACAAACGGTGGAGAATGGGTTGGCAGCGCGCCAGAGCCAGCCTCACTGACACGCTCCACCATTTGCAGCGAAGAAGGTGGTGCATACGCGAGCTAATCATAAGCTTTCCCTCTGGCTGAACCTTCGAAACGCTTAGTTAGTAGGTGGATTAGTTTCACTGATTTTTGAGTTCAAATGCTGGCATTCTGTTCAAACAGTTTTTCCACAGATCATCATGCCATTGCTGGATCGAGTTCGTGTGCAGACCCGAAGCGCATCGACAGAGCGTGCAAGTGGCGCCCTTCTAATGCATCATTCTCGAGATACTCAACAGAATGCGCAGCATTTGAACTGCAAAAATCAGTTTGAACTAAATCCACCTTACGTACTAAGCTTTTCGAAAGGTTTCAGGCCAGAGGGAAGCTTATGATTAGCTCGCGTAGGCACCATAGGCCCCTGCTATTCGGTCTTCTTCGCTGCAAATGGTGGAGCGTGTCAGTGAGGCTGGCTCTGGCGCGCTGCCAACCCATTCTCCACCGTTTGTCAAAGGGTGAGCGATAATCGTTGTAGAAAAATGACTGGTATGAACGATATGATACACTCTTGTCGCTTGCTCGCTTCAACATCTGGTGGAAAACAGGTTTTGTGTCGCGCTAAACCCATCCTTCCTGACGCGCCTCGTCATCCACACCAAACAAAACTGGACCCTTTCTGCGTTCAAGCGCACAAGTCTGCAATTGTAGAACTATGCTATTGTTGCCACTCGAAAGCTCATAGCAAGGAAGTTGAAGGAATCTGATAGTTCGATGTCCTTTATGTCTCTGCTCTTATCTCATACGCGATGCGGCCGCATGATACGCACCGCTTCACATCGGACCGCGATGTCATACCAGCGAGCGGAAGAATGAGTTCAATAGACACGAAAATGCTCGTACCGCGGTATGGAAAGTTCGTACCCAGGGGTCCGTTACCGGCGCCGCACAACCCCAGGCTTTCCGGAGCGAGCTGCGCCCTGAACGTGCGCTTGCCGCCTGCTTCAGTAAGCTTGACAAGGTTCGCCGACTCTTGAATAAACTCAGCCAAACACTGACGATCTCGTTTCGCGTGCGGGGTGCACAGGCTGCGTCAGCAGGGAAAACAAGTTGGGCAGGGGGCGCCAGCGCGTTTCTTTTTTCTTACGCTCAGCGACAGGACTGTACCATATCGTTCTATCAGTCGTTTTCCACCAATCGTTATCGCTAATCCACTTCAACAACTGGTGGAGAACAGGCTGGCGGTGTGCCAAACTCACTCTCACTAACACACTCTATCACCCAGCGAACGCGACTGTATCTCGCTGAGAGGGCTGTTCAAGCGGCAAATAATACGCTGCCGTTTTTCATGCCGGAAGGCGGGCTATGAAATAAAGAACAAGCCAGCATCTAGCTTCAGAGCACCTTCAAGTGGCGATAGCGGTACCCTACTGGCTGTAGACTTGCCCGCTTTGAACATGGAAGGATCAGCTATGGAAGTAATCGCACAATGTGTCTCAAACTCATTAAATCTGCTTTGTTTGACTCACTGCACAACCAGGCTCACAGGTGATGTCACGCGCAATCTCTTAGGCAGCGTTCAGACGTCGCGACGGCAGCGCTCCGAACGCGCGTTCGACACGACCGACGCATTCAAAATAATGCGCATCGATCGCGCCGAACGCGCGACCGAAGCGCTGCCGTCGCGAAGTCTGAACGCTGCCTTACAATAAGGTGGTAATACGAAAGGGAACGCTTGCGCTGCATCCGATCTAAGATCGAAAAAAAGGCTTTGTCATCTCAGAATAATCAAGAAAGGACGCCAGATACAAGCGCGAAAGCCTCTGCGATAACTGTCCTCGCCTTGACCACTGTCAGCCCCAATAGCTTCTCACTTGAGCTCCATCCTACCTGCCATATCATATGATTCCATGTGCTAATCCGCAAAGCATGGCCGTGGGAGGCCACCGTTTGAAGAAGAGTTTGGCAGGCACTTTTGCGGACAGACGGCCGAACATCAACACACAGTTCAGATAGGCACGTATACAGCACCAGCCAAACCTGAAACCACAGTTAAATACAAAACCACGTACGGAAACATGGGTATTCTCAAGAAGCAGGGAACTGGAAAGAACAGCCCTGGGAAGAACCAAAAATATTACCTTTTCAGATGCATCAGCACCCACAACTTCGCTCTTTCGAAAGACAAAGTCAGAGATTGTCCACTGAAAGAAGAAAAGCCAGTCAAAGAAAATGACAGCAACTCAAAGGAGCCTCGAAAATCAACCCACCAGCTGAGTGAGAGCTGACAAGGAAATGTTGTGATCAGCCGTTTGCCTTCCATATCGCGCGACTGCTTCCACCAACACGGAGATACACTCGAACGGAAGTGACGGAAGAAAGTCCGCAGCCACAAGTCTCAGGCCGAGGTATCCCTGCCGTACCAGAGCTTCGTCACAGCTGAATTTTGGGTTGGTTGAATTCAGAAATAACCAGAAACTACTAGCCAAGAAATCTTTATACATACCAGTTCTCTTCATCAACGACGGCAGCAACTATGAAAATTACATGTTGCCACATCTCGGGTACAAGTTGAGCACCGTCCGTTTGGAGAAGCGCCATCAAACAGTCAAGCTGACGTCTTTGCACATCCGCCTGGTGAATAGAGCACATCAAGCGCAGTGTCTTCAGTGTGATAGCCTGATGTTCCTGAAAATAAGTAGGTTACTCTCGTACCTATACAATGTGGAAGATAGCGCACTAACCGCTTCTGATAGCCCAGTTTTTGCTTTGAACGCTTGTTTGATGATGCTTGACAAAGCAACAGCCGCCCATTCGCGTAAGGATGGAGTTATATGGCCACAGACCTTAAATCTTGTTTTCTCACAGCGTGCAGCCAAACTACAAAAGCACAATCGCCCCACCTTGATGAAGTGTGCCGTGACGCGGTCCCAGAAGACTTGCTGACGATGAAGATTCAGAGATGCGAACCGTAGGAGCATTGCCAATGGGAAGAGTGAGCACTCCCTACCAGTCGCCGCCACAGCGACATTTTCGTCCTATATTCTACACAGCAGTTAATTAGGAACGAGTGTACACTCACGAA